CTATTGTGTTTAGCGGAAAAAGTTTTTTTTTTAACACAGTCATTTAAAAATAACACATTTTAGAGCTGTAACAACAATACCGTGATATTTTTGCTTAAGGTTATCATACCGTCAAAATCTCATACCAGCCTATGCCTAGCTAACAACAATAAAAAGACATTTATGCCATTAAAACAGCGACATCTGCTGACTGACACCGTGCTACGTTGTCATGGGAACATGCCAGCTGAAGATAATGAGGAAATTACCGTCGCTCCCAATGCCAAGTCCATTCCAAATGGCTACATAATGGCACGCACGAAGTCGCCACTCCAAGGGCTCTGCCCTTCGAAGGGAGTAGGGCATAGGGATGATCACTTCCATTTGGAGTTTACCCCGTGAACTGTTTGGTACGAAAACGCGTACGGTTACAACCCTAATAGATAGATAGATAGACCTTACCTCAGTATGGAACTTGTTGTCACATAAATACAAGGATGTGTTGATTGGTTTAAAAGGCTCAAAATCAATGTTTACTTTCTTCTCTTTGCCTTCCTCTGTCACTATGGTGCCACAATACACCACCAGGCCATTAGGAGGCACTGCAAGATAAATATAAGACTTATGGGAGCGGGGATCAGGAGAGACCACACCTATTGAAAAGATTAAATCAGGCACAACGCCCAGTCGTACCCAAACATACACGGCAAATATGTATGAACTGCCAGTTTAATATTTAAACGGCACCATTTTGGAAAAGACAAACATACCAAGTACAATAAAATTCAATCTTCTGAGAGGTTAAATGGCTGTGAAATATCTTAGATCAGTGGTTCTCAAACCTGTCCTGGAGTACCCCCAGCCCTTCTCATTTTGTATGTCTCCCTCATCTATCACACCTGATTCAACTCATCAGCTCATTAGTGGAGACTGCAAGATCTGAAGTGGGTGTGTTAGATATAGGGAGACATACAAAATGTGCAGTGCTGGGGGTACTTCATGGAGAGGTTTGAAAACCACTGTCTTAGGCCCCGTCTACACGGAGACGCGTTTAGCTGTATACGCATACATTTTGTATCGTATAGGCGTTTCGTCCACACGGATCCAGCGTTTTGGGAGAGTGAAACAGAGTCCCAGAGTGGATAAATCTGCAAACGCTGCCCTTATGTTTTCGTGTGGACAGCGAATCCGTATATTTTCTGAAACGATGACGTCATCAGCCCACGTCTCGCCCCTAGTCAGACACCGCTACGTCATGTAACAGCAACAAAAACATGAACAAACACTGAACGATTGTCTTTTTATTCAAGTCCCCCTGTAGTCAAATTTTATCCTTTAAAACTCATCTTTGATCATCAAAATTACGTATTTAAATGTTTTTTCTTGTGAAAATAATTTTCCTATGCCTTAAAGGGGACCAATTATGCAAAATTCACTTTTGCAAGGTGTTTGGACATAAATGTGTGTTGGCAGTGTGTGTACACAACCACCCTATAATGATAAAAATCCACCTACTCTTTTTTTAATCTCCATAAATAATAAGCAGTGTCTCCCAATGGCCTATTTTTAGCATTGGTGCTAATGTGACGTCACATTAGCCACAGGCCACGCCCATGAATGTTGACAGACACTGCTGTTTCAACATAGAACAGCCTTGAGCGAGTTCACAGCGAGTTGTACACAGTCCGCCATTGCTGCACTGACGAGAATGTCTCAAAAGCGTTTTAGGTGTTCTGTAGCTGGATGTATTAATCCACATAGCTCTCTCCATTTACTCCCGAAATCTGATCCGCTGAAGACGAGGTGGATTAATTTTGTTTTCGAAGAAAATGCTCCCTCAACTCTACAGAAATTTGTTTATGTCTGCGCGAATCATTTTACACCGGACTGCTTTGTGAATGAGGGTCAGTATAAAGCAGGTTTTGCACAAAAGTTGCTCCTGAAGGATGGAGCAGTGCCAACTGTTCGTGATCCAGCTAACGTTACGCCATCTAGAAGTAGTATCACGCGTTTGTTTTCCAAATTGCCTTTCTGAAAGAGCTTCTTTATAGCGGAGGCTGCAGTTTCAGGACCGCATTTCTAGCATTTCTAGGGTTTAGTTTGTAATAATGTTTGTACATGTTGTTAAAGATATTGAATCTCAGGAACATTTTGAACATTTTT